AGATGGTGGAAGGTTAATTTTTTACCTGTTAATCAAAATTTTACTGTACTGCGAGCGTTTTTTGTTTTTTCATATGACTTAAGCAATGTTAGTCTTTGTCTTTTCAGATTAATTCCATTTCTTTCTTCAGAGTTGTTAATGTAAACAGCTCAGAAGGTGTCATTGACGGACGCTACAGTGATAAAACTAATGCTAAGAGGGAATGGATGAGAAGACTGTTATTAAAGATTGCAAGGGGAGCATATGATTATGACTGTTACGAAAAATTCATTCCAATATGTTTGATAATTCTATAAACAGGAATGATATATCAGTATTCATTTCCATTGCAAATTCACTTTAATTGGTTATGGTAACGCATGCTTCAGACAGAACAATGTAAAATATACTGTATTCTAAGCATTTTGATAAATGTGTTGATACAATGTAAAATCGATAGTAGACAAGTTCATCTCATATTTTCACAATTCATTAAACTTATACGGTTGAAACAAAAAATTCTAGTTAATATACATTATCACTATTACAACACTGAAGAAATGATAAGAATGAAAACGTTGCAAAAGCTTATCTTTTTAACATGAAATTTAACTGAAGTTACTTTAAATATTTGATGTATTAAATTAAAGAAATCAACATCAACACTTCCACATTTCAGCCATCATTGCGGACTTCAGAAGAACTTTTTTCATTCATAGCAATGTCTGTCTTATATTTGCTAACTGACAATAAGACTTGCTCTTACGTAGTAATTTATGTATGTATACAAAATGCCTTCTAACTATTCTATATGATATTCTTAAGCGAAAATTATCGGTTTATTTCTTACAGTCCTCAAATAAGTAAAAAGAGGGTGAGCCTTTTTTGCTTAGAGCGACAATATAGTATTAATCGATCGAATATTAACAAAGCAAAATATTTCTTAATTCTTATCAAAAAAGGATATTTCACATCAATATGATGAGTCTTATCTTCAAGTACCATAATAGGCATGAAGTCTTTGTAATATAGGAATTACAAATGAGTTATTGGTTTTATATTTCTGCTTCCCATGATGCATACTTTTAGCATGGTCAACGGTTAATTCTTTCAGTAATTGGAATATCCGCAGTCGTGATATTAGTAACCGTTTCACGACAACAAAGGTTTTTATGGATGCATTCCGGTAATAATTCTTTTACGCGGCATGCAATATCATCCTGCTTTATCATGATTGCAGCTACATTTGTTAAAGGATTCACATTACAGCTGATTGCTACTACTGTACGGACAAATGTGGAATAGCGAGTTGTTGGATCACTGTCATCATCCTCCACCGACAAATTCGTGCACAATGGTATCACGTAGAAGATTAATGTAAACACGCAAGAAACACCCATTGTAATGGTAAGTTTACGTTGACGTGCTTCGAATAATTGTAATGATGTTTCCTGAAATATATAATATTGGAGCATTCAGACCTTTTACGTAGTTTTTTTTTTACGTTTTACTAGCAATTATCGCCGTCAGGTACGTTGATTAAATTTTGGAAAACTTTCAAATTCTAGCTTTTTAAATACTAATTTCGTTTTGCTTTGTTTTAAGATTGTTTTCCGAATGAGTCAACTTAGAATCTTCAATTAGGCCTTCTCAGTTGTTATTTACTTTCTGTTCGATGAAATGCGTGCAACAATTGTTAGTTGCAGCAAAATATTCGAATTCAGAAATAAATTTCAGGAATGGAAAGACTCCGTCCCAATTGAACAATGTAATGGACGGTTGGATAAATCAGAAAAACGGTAAATATAGATATACCGAACGATTGCTCTTTATCCGGTGAAGATATTTTCTGCTCAGGAAATACACAACCACGTAGAGGATGACACTCAAAGATGCGGTAGCAATCATCAACAAGAAATGCAAATCAGCGAAAAACGGATACAGAATGTCACCTGTCCTGCAAAGCTTCTTTCATAGGATGTTCGACGATTCGGTTCACAGAATTATCTGTGACGAACTAATGAGTTTACCTACCAACAAAAGCCATGCAACATGGTTTCATTATCTGTGAAGGAAATAAAACAGGCAATGACGACAAAGAGGGATACTGATCCGAAAAAGACAATGATCTGAAAAAAGAAGATGTTCCACCTGAAATTCTAGAATACGTTTTATAAATACAAACTTTTCACCTAATTTTGATATTTTTGCAAATTAGCAGGTACTTTTAATTAATAGATTGAAGAGCAAAATTTAGAAATGACTTTTTTCTGTTTTTCACTTAAAAATTCGAATTTTTTAATCTCTGAATTAAAAATGAAGACTAACCTGTCTGATTTGATAAACATAATTATTCTCATAATATCGCACGGGTGATATAAACAAAATGATTCGATCCGTACTCACCATGAGTGTTGCTGCAGCTGACATTAGCTGTGACCTAAGGTCATTTATATTACAAATTAATTAGCACTGTAATAGCGAATAGGTAATGGAGGAAGTGATGGAAACCTGCAAATGAGATAATAAGTTAAAGAAAACAAAATGCAAGAAATTACCATATACTAACTGTAAACCATGGTAGGAACAAGCAGTATCGTCTGGTTTTTCGGTAGCATCCAAATTTCATCATAATAAGACGATTGATTGCTGTTAGAGAAAACGCAGCTCCCAGCAATGTATCAGTAAAAGCCTGGATGAAAAACGCTGGTTAAAAAATAGGCAAACGGAATAATGTCCTGATGTGATTTTAATCAATTACCTGCGCAAATAAAATGACATATTGACGTCTGAGATATCGATGCTTAATTAGTGCCATTTCAATCAAACCGTTGCATATGACAAGGAGAAACCCTTCAAATGCATAGATAGCAAATGTAATCATAAGAAATAGCTGATTATCTTCCTTTATTTTTCCACTATCTTCATAATCATTTGCAGTGATATTCATTACTGAAACTGTAAATTACAATTTAACTGTATTAAAAATTAACCCAATAATAAAACTTTCAATAATTTCAAAAAATAAAGTTGAAATTTTCAAAAAATCATCATTGCGTGTACTGATAAGAAATCAATCAATAGACTGATAATATCATCGGTTAATATAATAAACTTAACAAGAATGGAACAATCATTAAACAATTACAAATCTTTCTGTAATGGCGAAGAAAGGTTTATTTCAGTGTGTTTAGTGAAATGTCTTTTTTCAAAATGTATTATTATTATTCATTATATTAATGACAGCGATAATGAGAATTATATTTAAATGAATGGTTAATATTCAGCCATTATCACTTCATCGATCATTGAAATATAAAAATGGTGCATTAATTTGTTACAGTATAATTTACTAAACCTCCATTTATGTTTATCTTATCTGATAGCTGTTATCTTCCAAATGTATATATAATGCAATTAAAATTTCCTTGTAATAAATGAAATGCAATAGTTATGCTGATAAGAAGGAGTGATAATAATATTGGAATATAAATGGACTGAAAGTTTTTCATCACTAAAAATTTAAAAAAAATTTAATTTAAACAAAAATTTGTCTAAAATTTTAAAAATTTTTGAAAAAACAAAAATTTGCAATTCATTCATTAATTATTATTATCCAAATTAATTAATCAAATTATTTTTCAAATTATTCAAACTGACCAATTTGATAAAAAATCAAAGTCAAATTAATTTTGCATATAAAAAGTTATGGTTGTTTAAATCAAATAGTTAATTCTAATTTCATTATGCAACTTAATTTAATCATAACATAAGTAGAAAACAAAAATTTGTAGTTTCAATAAGCAACACATTATTTTCTTACTGCTCGTTAATCATTTATTATTTGATTAGTAATTGAATTTTTAATTACAATTAATAAAATATAAAACTTAGAGCAGAAAATATAAGACTAAGATTTGTTGTGATTTGTCAAAAAATAAAGCTATTGCTGAGAGAGTGTTGCATTATATATTATCCATTAAGTTTGATCCATTAAGGTAATATAAGATTTGAGTGAAGATTGCATATGGATTCGATGCAACTATATCTGCTGATGATATCTTCAGTTTATTTAAAATCGAATAGATAATTAATTACAGTTGAAATAAATAAACCAGCAAACACTATTACCTATGCTAATAATTTTAGAAAGGAAAGTCTATTATTAATTTTACGTGATAGCTAACGTGAATCGTAAATTGTTTGACATGGCATATTGCTCAAAATTACTGTTGCAGTATTTTATTTCTATTTTTGTTCATTCAAAACAGCAAATTTAATTTTTTGATATAATCAATAATCAATAATCAATCAATAATCAATATCAATTCTTTTCGCAATAATCAATCAATCAATATAATCAATATGATTCTTTTCGCTCATAAATTTTACACATTTAAAAATTCTCATCGCTTCGCTTTGTTTTTAATAGCATTGAACTCGTTAAATTTCTTTCAATCAATTCTTTTGAAATATTTTCAGAATATTATGCAAACAGAAATATTGCAAAAATAAATTTTATCATTGCATGAATATATTCAATATTATCATTTAAGTGATATGATAACAACTATTGACCCATTTTTCTCTTATCATAGGAAAAATAGTATAATCATTTTCAAATAAAAAATCAATCATATTCATCAACCTGTTTATCATATCAGCATTGATTGTTTATTAACATTTGCCACAGATTTGATATTCAAGTATGACAGAATGTGAATGGAATGCAAACCGGTGTGGTATAAAGTGCAATGGAATGTTAAATAATGCCTTGAAGTGTAAATTATAAAGGCTATATGATAACGAAATTTGATGGAACACAAAAATTACCGATTAAGTTTTGGGCTATTTGCAGCACTTCATGAAAAGATGGATTTAAATGAATAATTTATCTGACATTTAAACCTTATAAACGAATAGGATTAGATCACCTGGAATGTATAATTAGGATGAAATTTTCTACTCCAAAAATATCACATAAATTAATTTCAATGTATACAAAATATCATATCTATCACTATTATTTGCTGACTAAAATAATCGAATGTTTTATCATTTAGCTATAATAAGATGAATATTGGCAGAATCGTAAACAAAATAAACTTTTGATGAAATGCAAATTTATAAATAACTGAGGATAAATTTGATGATAATATCAAGGCAGATATGAAGCATTGTTATAAAAATCATACACATTTCTGGCTATCAAAGAATAATTTTTGGCTATTTCAATTGACCATCTGAGTTATCATATCACCAACATTATCGTCA